GGAAGCATGTCAACCCATAAAAGGGCTCAGAGCTCATCTCCCCACGGAGCTGGGTGGAGGGGTCTGGAGAGGGAGCTCCCCTCGGCCCCTCCGGCTGCCCCTCACCCTCTCTCTCCTCCCCGCCTTTCTTCCGGTTGGGCTCTCCTCACCCCTTTGCTCTTCCCACCAGCTCTCCTCTGCTCCCCCTGACGGCTGTCACTCCCGGCTCTGCCCTCCTCCGTCTCTTCTCCCCCTCCTTCCTGCCCCTTCTAGTCCAGCTTTGGGCTCACCGTCCCCCTGGAGAGAAGGAGGGGAGAAGAGCATTTGGATGACCCCCTCCTTAATGCCTCTTCTGGCATCTGGAGGCCCTCCCCACTCCTCCAAAGAAACACCTCGAATTTTTGATGGAATGTAGGCTAGTCTCAGTGAAAATTTGAGGAGGGGACTAATACTGGGGTACATCAAAGGTCAAACCTCTGCCTCTACCATCTTTGGGCATTGTATTTAGGGAACAATTCTTGGGCTGGATCTTCTGGCTGCAGGCGGAGGAGAGGCAGGGTTAGCGGATCTGCTGTTCAAGGGGCAGGAGGGAGCCTGAGGCAGGTGGGGAGGCTGCTGGACAGGAGGCTGCCCTCCCCTGCAGCTCCCACGCCCTGTGCCCCCTCTCTGGACCTGACCCAAACCCCTATTAGCGAGCAAATCATGAAGTCTCTGTCCCAACCATTGCGGTTGAGGAGAGAGGCTGTGTCTTCAGAGAGAGCTCAGTGCTGGGTCAGGCGGGATTAGGGTGCAGCAGCGTCCGGTCCGGTATTGCTAACAGGCCTAGCACCCTTCCTCCACTGCTTCCCAAGGCTCACCTGGGGCTGCCACCAGCCTCCCACCCTCCTGGTTCCGCTGGCCGGGCCAGGAGAGGGTGGGGGATGGGAGTCCCTGGGGGTCCCAGGAGATTCTTGTATATAGTGGGGTGGGGCTGTTCTGGGTGATCTCTGAGCACTTACGCTCGGGAGTCCCATTCTATCTGATGGAGAGGGGGTGCAGGGATGGGGGCACAGGGGGGATTTCCTCCTCTCCTTCCTCCTGTTGTGAATTCACTCACCTCTCCTCAGCCTACCCCTCCAGACCACCAGCCAGGGAGGGGAGAGGAAGGAGGTCACAGTCAGGAAAGTGGTCTGTGACAACTTCCCTCCTTCCCGCCAATGTGAGCCATCCTGAGATGTCTGTACAATAGAAACCAAACCAAATGGGCGCCCTCGGTCGCCTCGCCGAGGGGGTGGGGAGGGGGGTGGGAAGAAGGGGTGTCCGTCTGTCGATCCCCCTCCCCCTCTCCACTTCTTACCCACAAAGGCAGAAGACTGTTAGGCTAGGGGGCTCAGAAAATTCAGTCCCACCCTACTAACTGAGCCGAACCTAGAAACCAACGCAAAACACACATAGTGAGAGACAAAACAGAGAGAGAGAGAGCGTGAGAGGGAGCGAGATAGGCGAACACCACACGGAGGAGACAAAACAAAAATAGCAAAAAAAAAAAAAAAAAGCAGTTCTTTATAATTTAATATTCTATTTTAATAAAGGCGTTTATTACCGTATAAATGTAGCAAAGAACCTGGGCTAATATGAAAAAAAGACTTTTTATTAGGTAATTTATTATATGAAAAGGATATTTTATTTTATGATAAAGTGATCCTTAAAAAAATAAAAAAACTTTAGAAGGTTTAGAATATATGTAGGGAGAGAAGAAGAAAAAAATACATTTGTATTCAGAGTTAAATCTTAAAAAAAAAGTGTTTTTAATATATGTTCGGGTTTACGTTCCTTTTTTCCCCCACTTTTTTTTGGGGAGGAATGTCATTTGCTTTTCGTGGGGAGCATCCTGGGATATGTGGTGGAGATGGGGGGGCTGGGGGAACCTGGTCCCTCTGGGGCCCCCCTGCTAGTAGATTGGATTTCACTCCATGGGCCCCCTCCCCTCTCCCCTCCCCCTCGGGGGAGCCGGCAGAGCCAAACAAAGAAAGGGATTAACAAGAAAGGAAGACGCGCTTGGACTGAGGATCCTGGGCTGCCCCCCCTTCCCCTGCCCTGTCCCAGGGGCGAGTGGGGAGGGGAAGTCCAGAGCTGAGGCCTAGCAGGCCTGCGGGAACCCTCAGAGAGGTGCAAGATTTAAGAGAAATAGTTTTGTTTTGTTTTGTTTTGTTTAACCAAAAATGAGAGAGAGAGAGAGAGAGAGAGAAGAAAAAGAAAGAAACCGAGGGGTTTAAAAGAAAAGAATACTACAAAATAATAATTATTAATAATAATAATAATTCAAATTTATTTCATATAATCCTAGAGAAAAAGAAAGAATTACTAGTTACTTAGTAGATGATATTCAGATAGCTTAAAGTTTAGTAGCATCGAGGGCCCCTGGGTCCAGTAGAATGTATAAAAGTTGTAACGAAAAGGAAAGTAGATGAGGGAAGCGGTCAAGTCCACCCTGCATGTGAGGAATCCCCCATCTCCAGATACCAGGGTGGGAGCAGGTTGCTAGTTGAGGTTGGAGCTTCCAGTCTGCTGGGGTTGATTCTGAGAATCCTTGGGTTTTTAAATTGTAGGACAAACAGATAAGGGGCTCAGTCCCCAGGGTCTTTGAAAGATGGACATTGATCATTTCAACCACATGGGAGCCAGGCCGGGGCAGCGGACAAGGTGAGCGCATTCACCTACACCCTCCCCTGTGCCCTCGCCCCTGGGGGCCTGCCACCCAGTCCATCCCCAGGTCTCTGCAGAGCAGTCCTTACTCCAAAGTGATGTGTCCTCTTGGGGCTCTCAGGGAGGGTGGAGACTGCTCAGCTCAGACCCTCCCGGGCCTGCTTCTCCGAGGCCCGAGGAAGTCCTTCTTGAAGTGTAACCTCAATCCACCCCATGAGGGATTGATTCAGGAGCCTGGTAGGTCATTCTAGAAACAGACACGCACACACTTCCCACGTTCTCAGAGCTTCACGAGGACTGGGGGTCAGTCCTCTGTCCTCTCTCCCAGCCAGTGTCCCACTTAGCTTTTGGCCCCCGTGGCGGCGGTGGGATTAACAACCTCAGTCATGGCTCTTTCCAACTGCGCTGCGCTCTCCAGGCTTTATTGTCTCACAGAAGTTAGACTCCAAGAATGACTTCCCACCCCACCCCCCCCACGGGGTACAGTGGAGATACTGTCCTTGAAGGCCTGGGAGAACGGCCCCCCCCGGGGTGCGAAGGCAGGGGGCGGGCAGCAGGGACTTGGGGGGACGCCGCCCCAAGCCCTGTGCTTCAGCTCCCCTCCAGCTCTAAGTGCTCGGGTAGGGGCCACCCAGGGGACCCTGGCCTGGGGGCACATCACCCTCCCCACACAAAACTGGGGAGCGTGGCTTTTGAATGTGAGAAATCACCTGATGTTTTCTAGCACTTGCCTTCTCCCAGCCCTAGCTCAGGGCCAGCCTCCCTCCTGCCCCAGGGAGCACGGGGAGCCTGCATCTTCACACCTGAGATTCTGTCGTGCCCCTCCCCGGCCCTAGGCCCCAAACACATCTCCCTCTCCCCAATTTACTCTCCTCACCCCACCTAGGGAGGTTCCCCCTGCTCTTTTTGTCCTAGAAACCCCGCTAGTTTGGGAAGGTAGAGTCTGGGGTGGGGAGGGCTTCCCCTTTCCCGCTGGAGGGTGCGGGTGGGGTAGGGTGGGAGGGGAGACAGCCCTGGGGCAGGGGGATGGTCTCTCCACTGTAGAAAGTAGAGTAGGATTGTGGTCAGACTTAATTTGAGGCATCTAGTGAAGACACGTACAAATCCACCAAGGAAAAATATTTCAAAAGCAAGATAAAGGCGGGAAACAAAACGGACCCATGAATAATCAAGTCAAAGTGATGTTGCACAAAATGCAGAGAAACCAAGAAGGGGGAGGGTTAATGTATTAAATGTGCTATTAAGAACTTAATTTTATTAAAAGTATTATTAATTAAGGCTCTGGCCTCTTTCTCCGCATGTGGGTCTGACCTGCGGTGGGGCAAGTGGGGAGGGGACCACCTCGGGTGTTGTGGGGTGGCGGGGGGAGTCTTCTCAAGTGTGACTCTGGGGGCCCTGCCCCCTTGTAGGAAATGCTGGCTCCCACCTGCTCTCCACAGCTCCCTACTTGAGTCTCCAGGCCTTCAGTCCCCTCCTTTCCTCCCCATTTACCACCTAGTCTTTCTGGGGTGGGGGTGGGGGTACAGCCTGCCCCGCAGAGCAGGGGCCAGGCAGGCCCAGGCCTGGTGCGGGAGACCCTGCCCTGGCCAGCCAGCTCCAGGGCTGTGTGCTAGGAGACCTTCCCCACTCATCCCACCAGGTTCAGTCCGTCCCTACACCCCACACCCCCTGGGGTTCAGGCCACAAACTGGGTAGGAGGCTTGGACTGCCCACCTCCCAGGCACACATAGACAGGGCTGGCCCTGACTCCCCCTTCTCTCCAACACCTCCCCCTGCCTCCTCGCCTCACCCCTGGCATTGGAGTGACCTCAGTTCTTGGCACCAGGGCCCTAGGCACCAGATGGTGCCTGAGGGTGATTTCCTTTGTCTCTCCTTCCAGATACCCCCTCTTGGCCATGCTGCCCTCCCTCCCCCACCTGCCCTGGGGGTTGGCAGAGGGAAGGGTGGGCCCCTCCCTCCCCGTTGGCACTGTCCCCAGACCACAGGACTCCAGAGGCAGCTGGCCCTGGGGGGCAGTGGGTATGGTGGGGAGGATGGGGGGTGGGGAGGGGAACACCAGCTCAAAGGGGCCAGAGGTGAAGGGGAGGCACGGATGGATGGCAGCAGGCTGGCCAGACATTGGTATAAAACACAGCTTTATTTGAAGGCCAAATCGGTGTGGCTGGGGTGGGGGGACGGCAGGTAATAGAGAAACGGGGGTGGGGGGATTGGGAAGATCTTGGAGCTCCGTGGGGCCACTCTGACATGTGGAACCACAGGACAGGGAGAGGTCCTGGAGCTGGGGTGGGAGTGGAGTGCCAAAAAGCCAGCAGGGGCAGGGCGGGTGCTAGCTAGGGTCAGAGGCTGATGCAGCAGGCCCTCTTCTCGCCAGGGCCCGGCTCCTGCCCAGCCTGGGCACTGCCCAGAGTGATGGCGTTGGTCCGGCTACTGTTCTGCCTCTGCTTGGACACTTTGCTGAAGATCTCTGAGGGGGGCGGAGGGCAGTGATGGGGTCAGAGGACTGAGGGCCCACACCCCCTACACACAAGGCGCGGACTCGCTGAGCACGGGTGTGACCACACTTCAAGGAGACTTTGCTGGGAGGAAGTGGAGTGTGGGCACCTGCGTCCCTTCTACTTACCTGGGTGGAGAAGGGCTAATGTTTAGCTCCCTGGGAAGTGTGGCCTTCTGGTTCCTTCCCCAAGCCTCAGTCTTAGAGTGGGGAGGGGGCACTAGGGAGGCTCTGAGGAGGCTGGGGGCCCACACAGGGGCCAAGGATTCATCTGGGGTAGGCAAGGGCTGGCTGTCTGCATTCCTACCCCCACAAGAGCCTCAGGGATGGAATGGGGCTGCCAGATGGAGGCAGGGGCTCTAACCTTTGAGGACAGTCTCGAAGGCCAGCTCGACATTAGTGGAATCCAGGGCTGAGGTCTCCAGGAATAGCAGCCCATTGTTTTCTGGCAGGAAAGGAAACACAATAATATTTACCTAATGTTTACTGTGTACATTTGCAATGTGCTAACCCCTTGGCATGTGTAGCTCATTTCAGGCTTGAAACCACCTGTGAGGTAGATTTGAATATGATCCCTTTTTCGCACAGGAGGAAGCTGAAGCCCAGCAGCACAGGGAGGCTGAACAAAGGACTGGCCAGGGGGTGTGAGGCTGGGCCATGGGACACCAGAGCCTGCACCCTTAACCACTGCATCTTGCTGCCTCTGACCCCAGAGGCCTCCCGGGGAGAGCATGACTGGAAAAGGTCAGGGGGGTACACCTGCCACACCCCAGATCTCTGAGCATCATGGAATGGCCTGCCTTAAAGGCAACAACAAATAATTGCCCAAAAAGACAATCTTAGGGCAAGTGGTGGGACATGATGAGGGACACAGGGTGACAAAAGGAGGGCTGGGAGACTCCGAGGAAGAAGCGATGCAGGTCGGGGGGGCCCCACGGAGGAAGTCCAGGCTGGGGCCCCAGGGCAGGAGCAGGGGCTGGGGCGGCGGGAACTGGAGCGCCCGGGGCAGGCTGGAGGGCGGACGGGGTGGTGGTGGGCAGGCTGGAGGGCGGACGGGGTGGTGGTGGGCAGGCTCAGGGCCAGACGGGGTGGTGGTGGGCAGGCTCAGGGCCGGACGGGGTGGTGGTGGGTGGTGGCAGGCTCTCACCGGCAAACATTCGGGCCTCTTCAGTGGGTACCTCCCGTGCCTGCTGGAGGTCACTCTTGTTGCCCACGAGCATGACCACAATTGTGGCCTCGGCGTGGTCGTAGAGCTCCTTCAGCCAGCGCTCCACCACGGCATAGGTCTGGTGCTTAGTTAGGTCAAACACCAGCAGGGCCCCCACTGCACCACGATAGTACCTGGGTGGGGGGTGGCGGGGGGTGACAGAGGCAAGGTCAGAGGTGAGTACCGGAGATGGAGAAACATGAAGCTGAGGTCAAGGGGCCCACATCTGGCCAGGGCAACTCCAGGCTCTGGGCCTGAAGTTGAGCCCTCCGGGGCGTTCAGTCCGTCCC